CTCTCTCCCCCCCTCCTTTTTAATTGTACTTCAATTTAGGCAAAGTAGTCTCTGAACTCTAATTATCACCAGGTAATCTCTAATCGATGTTCTCTTGCCACTTAGACAGTATTTCCTTCACTTTCATTGCGAATTGACAAGTTTCCCCTGTAACACGGTGGATACACAATCCCGCTGTACACCCTAGTACGATAAGTTGCCTAGCTACGGGGTTTGACGTTCTACATTCCGTCACACACGAGTCTGTCCCGCATCCCTCCCTGGAGCGTAGTTCTAATGGAGTTCAAATTGCAGGGACCATGTGATATAAAAGGGATCTTCTTCAAATACCTTTGAAATAGGGCAGTTATGCAAATACGGTAGGGAGAACTCGTTTCATTGACACACTCACGATTTGAGCCTAAACCAGTGGTGGAAAAGCTTTTCAGTTTGCAGTCCAATAAAAATTATTTCGCTTGAGACTGAAATAAAAAAATCAAACACTGATAGACATAAATTTAGAGGATAGGGCTACTCAACAGTGCCATATATGGAATTGTTCTTGTGTTAAGTTTTGTGTTTCAGGGATTGTGGGCAGTGTTTTGCGAAATTTGTTATGGCAACGCTGCTCTGGGCTGGTCTGTATTATACAGAAACTTAGTTTAATGTTTTCTTGCCTTGAAGCGGATTTGATGTCGCTCAGAGAGGCTTAAAAATTCTCGGTAATGGTACTGCATGTTATATCTTATAAGTGCTGTTATCATTAGGTAGCTTTAAGAAGTACTTCTGATGTGGGCGACGTAGTACGTAGCGTGATATAATTTGAAAGGGACTCGTACGGGATAGGGGAGAAAGAGGGGTTTAAAGAAAAGAAAATAAAGCATGGACAATGACCAAGTCTCAGATCGTGCTGTGGTATTTAGAGTTTGTATACAGTTGTTTATGAACGCTGTTTAAGAAGCCGGTTTTTGTAGGTCTTATGTATCCCTCCGCGGTACATTTCATCACCTCATTACCTACAACTTTCGGAAGTTGGTATTACCTCAATCATTGCTTGTGAGATGCGAAAATTAAGTCAGAAGGAATTAAGTTTGACTTAAACTCTTCTTACCGAGTGTCGCTTCGTCTGTTCACAGGTTGTGCCAAAAGCCCCCCAACAAAATATAAACCGTAAACTGCACACGGGTTTTGTGTTGTTAGATGGTATGCCTGAGAAAATAAATCACATTTTTTTTCTCAGAATTGTGATTTTTTTTAAAAAAAAATTACATCTTTAATTTGTTTAGAAACTGTTAGTCCACTCTGTATATATCAGTAGTATTAAGGGTGAATGGATTTTTGAAAGTCGGTTTTGGTAATAGTCGCTGAAGTTCTAAATTTGGATAATCTGACAAATCAGGCCTGCAACTTTAGTTGAAGGTAATATAAATTATATTTGAAAAATACTGCTCATACAGATGAATTCTGTACTCAGTTTTGCATAGGCCTCTGAAGTAAACGTTTGTTATATTCAAATTCCTTTAAATCTTTTCATGACGGTTTAAAAAATATTAATCATTTCATATCTGTACCAGTAAATTCGTAATATCACGTTTTCTATGGAGTATGAGCACCAGTTTGCAAGTTCCAGTAGCCAAAACTGTTGTTTTTTTCAGTCAACATCTACCTCGAGTGTATGCGTGTGTCACACAACTCCATCCCAGTTTTCGGGACCGCTTAAAATGTCGTGGCACTTCGCTATAAATTTTTAAACATTCCAGCATTTCAGCGGACGAAATAGAACTTCAGAACATATACTGTAGAAATATTTACCTCTTAAAATAGCGCTTTGATAACATCAGCTTTCGAGCTTAATAAACAAAACGAGGTGAACTGAGTAACACTTCTATTGAGCTGCAGCTTGTACAGAAATACGGAAATACGTCCCCAAACAATAAATTCCAATGATGAGTATAGTAACTGTGCCGAATGGTTGGCACTCCTGTTGCGTTGTTAGGGAGATCCTCGGTTTGATCCTCGTCCCAGAGATGTCTCTTCCCTTCGCATTTCCGAACTGAAATGTATACATTTTTCATTTCTCCCGTGCTTTTTACGTGCCACGTACATTTCAACCTCGTGACATCTTGTGAACAACACAGACGATGAAAATATTATTCATTATGCAAGTCAGGTCCAAACATTGTTCTCAAGAATCCATAATTTGTGTTCTGTTAATGTGAAAGAATCGTATTTTACAACCATACAAAATAACAAGTAAGATTTTATTTTTGTATATTTTAATCTTCGCATTTTCAGATAGGGGACAGAATTACAGAATTTGCAGGTCAACTTTAACCGCAGCCCCAAAATTTTAATACCTCCATGATATCCTCCTTATATTACTTACAGAATATCGGAGAGACAGATTATTTTTAAAATGTTTCCTTCTTGTGGACTGTGCACCTTTTATTACATTAGTATCAGTGATTCTTACAGTGTGCCTGACTTTATTCAAGAAGTTATATGATAACCATTGAGAAATTTCCTCTCCCTGGCTGAATCCGAAAACTTCGTGGCATTATTAGTCTCTGCAAGAATGGCGGTCACACGCCATTACTGCTGAGTCCCTAGGGAGAATTATCATACTTCCCCACCCCACTACGTGAGATAATCAGGAACTTCCTTTCTTTTATGGTTTATGGACATTTTATTTGGGGTAACATTTGCCCTTCCCGAGGGTTCTAATAAAATCCCTCCTACCACCACGACTTTCGTTTAACCCCCGCGGATAAACGGTGACTGTGTCTTGAGAATCTCCGATTGTGCCTCCCTGTGCTAGGAACAGCGATAAGGGGCAAAATGTGTTTTAGAGATGGTTCGAACAGATAAAAATAAATTTCTCCCCGGTATTCTGAAGTTCTGTCTCGTTTCGAAGTCTTACTCGGACTTCGACGGATTTTTTGAAATGACTCATTTATCTGGTCCGAGTTGGGAAATAGTCAATTGAATAAAAAATTTCTTGGATATTATCCATCGTCTAGTAAATATAAAACGTAAAAACGACGTTTCGGAGATGGGACTCTATCTCCGTCTTCAGGTTCCTACACAGTTGGGCCCACTAGATAGAGTAGGAACCTGAAGACGGAGATAGAGTCCCATCTCCGAAACGTCGTTTTTAAGTTTTATATTTACTAGACGATGGATAATATCCAAGAGGTCCGGAGATAGGGATTAGCTCTATCTAGTGGGCCCAACTGTGTAAGAACCTGAAGACGGAGATAGAGTCCCATCTCCGAAACGTCGTTTTACGTTTTATATTTACTAGAAAAGGTCCGGAGATAGGGATTAGCTCTATCTAGTGGGCCCAACTGTGTAGGAACCTGAAGACGGAGACAGTCCCATCTCCGAAACGTCGTTTTTTACGTTTTATATTTACTAGACGATGGATAATATCCAAGGAAATTTTTATTCAATTGACTCTTCACCATCGTCAAGAAGTTTTAGATTTGGGAAATAGTGCTCGGCTCTTACGAACATAGCAATGGACTTCCAGGTTCCGTGTGACGCTGGTAATGCCTTCATTAGCTGACCAACTGTTTCGTAGAATTAATTACACTTCCACGTTTCAGAACGAAATAAATATATTCGATCACAAAATATATTGTTGACTAATTATTTAATGATGCTATACTCACTGGTCTGTTACTGACATGCCATTCTAAAGAGTTTTTATTTTAATTAATGTCCCTTATTTCAGCTTCTACGTCACTCTTCTCAGCCTTTGCCATTAGTAGCTAAATGCCATCCATTAATTATAGCTGTTGGGTTAAAGTGTCTCCAAAGACTGAGATTTCAATAGCTAGGCTGTTTCGTTTCGAACCAGAAAACATTAACATCCCCATTTGAATCAGTGCTTTGCAATCTGCAAAGTGCTTTTCTCAGGGCAGGGAGTGTCAGTCTATAAAAGAGGGTACAAAAGAGTACTAAATTGTGGAAGAGATGTTTGGCAGGTATTTGTGCTAGTCGTAATAAATCAGGGTTCTTTGTTGGTAAAATAGAATTAAGATGAACATGAAAGAATTTATTCGGAACAGTAGAAGTAACTTTAATTTAGTGAATTAAACTGAAATGTTTAACTTCCAGTACTTGGTCTGCTATCAGTGCCAATTCGGAGCCACTTATATTCTGTTTATATCCTCACAACGTGTTTCTGTATGATGTAAGTTTTTAAATCGCCACGTATTTGTACACCTCCCCCAATATCGTCAGGGTGATTAAGTCGAGAAGAATGAGATGGGCGGGACATGTAGCACGCATGGATGGGACAAGAGGTGTGCACCGGGTATTGGTCGGGAAGCCTGAGGGGAAGAGACCGCTGGGGAGACCTAGACGTAGATGGGAGGATAATCTCAGGCGGGATCTATGGGAGATAAGAGTTGAAGGAGACTGGATTTTGTTGGCGCAGGACAGGGTCCGGTGGAGGGCTTTGGTTAATTCGGTGATGAACCTTCGGGTTCCCTAAGCCATCTAGTTGGTTGGGTCCACTATTTGGGAAGCCTGAGGGGAAGAGACCGCTGGGGAGACCTAGACGTAGATGGGAGGATAATCTCAGGCGGGATCTATGGGAGATAGGAGTTGAAGGAGACTGGATTTCGTTGGCCCAGGACAGGGTC